TTGAAAAGCCCATAATTAGAGGAGAATTGTAGCACGAGGGCTGATTTCAAAAGTGATTTTTCACAAACTCAAACTGGCTTCCAAAAACCCAAGAGCGGGAGATAGAAGATGGATCTTTCCTGAAACAGCATTGGTGAATGACAACCACTAGTCCTTGCAGTTTTAGAATTTGTAGTTGAAGTTCTCTTGAAAAAATGGCACGTTTTGATTTCAACACTATTGTTTTCAGCCCTAGCTTGAATAACAATGGCCATAAAAACTAAACAAAGGCCTATTCAAGAAAACCACTCATTTGTAAAATAGACGATTTACCGCAAGTTTTAAAAGTGATCTTAGCAAATCAGCTGCTTCATGCTACTAAACCGTGTGATGATGAATGATCAAAGAAAAAAATGATCATGATCAGGAGCTCTTTTCAGAGCTCATAGAAGCCCCTATCCACTCTCATCTTACACAAGTAGTTCCACCTTTTCTTGAGCAAAGCAATCCAGTGTACATAATTCGAATGACCAGTGAAGCAGCCTGGAAATGGAGAATGTTTTACTGACTGCCTTGTAGAGTATTTGATTCACTCCAGGCAAGCATCCTGCCTCTCGGCTACAAGCTTAATGAATCCTCCTGTGATCACATTGGTTGCACAGTCGGCAAAAATATAAGGAGATGGACTCAATTAAAAGCAGTAAACAGAGGCAAAAAGTACAAGCCAAGACATGGGTTAAAATTACAATAAACCCTGAGGAGATCAGGCTAACACCATGTCATGTATTGCCAAAGGTGACGAAAGAGAACAACAACCTTTTGACCACAGTTGAAGACAAGACTGCCGAGCTATACCATTCAGAGGGTCAGAGACTTGCCCACAATGGTAAACACTTTACAGAAGTCGGAAAGAAACAGCAGAACAGACATTTAACCGAGATACGGTCGGCTTTTAATTACCTCTTGTTGCCAACCTAAACAATTTGGTTGCTTAGGGAATTATATATGGACCTGTTGGTGAAATTGAAAGTAATGTTTTGTTATTTCTTTGCAGAAGAAGAACTAAAGATGCACTCTGGTTCAGAGAAACGTACAGATTAATGCCCAAGTCCTTAAGGCTCCAGGATACAACCGGACAGAGCGATGACATCAATTTAAAAGAAATTCCAACAGGTAACCAAACTTCAAAAAACCAGTATACTGCAATGGACTAATTCACTAGAGCAACACATGACTGTCCTCTTATCACTCTCTTGGCTGATGGTCCTAACAAAGAAAACATACCTATTAGTGGAGCAGTTCCTGAAATTCAAAACAAAGTTCATTTGAGGCAAGGAGACAGTTCCAAAGGTAGGGAGACCTTTCTAAAAATAATTATCTTCAAACAGGGTGCCTTCTGAGTCACAAAAGTGGTTTCAGAACAGCCTTGCTTTCTGCATTTAACAATAATGATACTAATAATAATAACAACAACTTGATAGTTACACTTCATTTGAAAAATGTAATATGTTATCACAATTGCTATTTCCCTCTAGAGAAGAAAATGCATGCTTATGAGAAGTTGCCTGAAGCCAAAAAGGACAAATTCAGGGGAATACTTTTTATAATGGACAAGTATTCCATTTCATGGGAGGCTTACCATGAACTACCTTAGCAGGATCAGACACCACCTAGATCCTACTTGCTACAGGGATGTCAAGGCACCACAGACTCTAGTTGGGATATAAGAAAAGCACCTGGGGACCAAGTGGGAGCTGAGTTACCTCTTGAGGATTTACTCAAGCAACAGCTTGAAGAATATGTAAGTGAAACAAGTTAAGCAATTTAATTGAGTCTATGGTTGCAAAGTGGGAGCCACAGCAAATAAACAATCAGTCATAAAAGTCCAAAGGAAATCATTTCACACTTTTAGCACATAGCTAAATTTTTATCTGTTACATTTTCCTCCAGCTGAAGAAGTCCAACCAACCAGAAGACCAAAGCCCAACAGTAAAAGTAAAATTATCTGGTGATAATTCAAGAATGTCTCATTCCAGTAATTAATTTATGTGCTCTTTTTCTATCCTAGATGAAGGTCAAAATATACTCTCTGGTGCAGGTACATACATGTATTTATTTATAAATAGCAGAGCATCCTTTTTAAAAATTGAGATCCCTAATAAATAAAAGTACAGTGTACTCAAGCTAACTACTTTTGTTTCTATACAACTCATGCCTAACTCTCAATTTTGTTCAATTCTAATGAAAATGTTGAAAAATACTTCATATGAAGTCAAACCTTTCAACCAACTTAGCTTACATGTATTGTGTTTTTACAGGCAACCACACTATTACTGTTCTAAAAACCTCTGAAGACTACAAAAACCTGAGAAATGGAATGGCAAATGTGACATTAACTGTCAATAAACCTATCGACGATGGATTTATTGTAATGAATGGAAAGAGAGTAAAATTGCAGTTCTTCTTGCGGGGTGATTACAAAGTACAATGTATATGACTCAATGATAACATGAAAGACTGAAACACAGGACTGTGTACTGAACGACATTGAGCTTGATAGTCTATCGACTGTATTATTATTATTGTTCCAACAGTTTCTGCTTCTTTCAATGGGAACGAAGGGGCTTTTTCCAACAATTCATGCGTCTGGTGCTTGATCCATAGAAAAGAGAGGTACTATTCGAAATGATCTTATTTCTTGATGATTACCTGATGACCTAGCCTTATTTTTCAATAGTTGAGGTTTTAACTTGCATTGTAAAATTCTGACCTTCCTTAACTATCTAACAAAGTCTTAAGTTTCTGTCTTTTGTTGGTCTTCAACTTAAGATGCAACATGGATGTTCCACACTCTTATTACCAGTCATCAACATGAAAGAACACTGTGTCTGGACTGGTACAAGCAACCTGGATGCCAGCACCAGCCATTATTAAGGATACCCCTTGACAACATTATCATTGATGAGCTTCACCTTATGCTGCGTGTGACGGATCAACTGGAAACAGGCCTTATCCTCAAAGTTTTAGATTGGGATGAGGTAGAATCACTTATTTATTCTCTTAGCAAATTTTGCTTAGAGCCCAGGCTACCAACACACTAGTAAGGTTTGTGTAAATTATAATTTAATTGCCATACCATAATTAAGTGACATATGAACTCACACTTAGTAACACCATAGCATGTGTATTAACAGTCTCATCATGCTAATAAATTACCTCTCACCAAATCAGGCTGACAACAAAGATAAAGTCCCATCATCAAGAAAGCCCATCCACTTAGATGCACTTTTGACCACAGTAAGCTCACCAGGAATTACCCTCAACATATGGAAACCAAAGGAATCAGGAAAGAAAGTGGAATGGACATCTCTGTTAGGTGGAGAGAAGTGGTTGCTTTTGAGAAATCTTCCCTGCCATTTTTCAAAATTGTTACCACCAGAAAGAGCATCAGTTGTTCAAAAACTGTGGAAAGTGAGTAAAAATGTTATTTGTAATGCAAAGCATATTTAGGGAAGAAAACTTTTTATCTGTACTGTTTTGCTCAATATATTTGTCCTAATATTACTCAGGAATCATCTTTATGTTTTGAGGGCTTTCAGGAGATACTGGACTTAAACAACAAAGATACCCACACTAACGATGAAGTTGATGAAATACAATATAAGGTCTGTGTTACTAAACAAACCTAAGACCATGTTTTTCTATAATTTCAATTCCAAAATAAATATAAATAAATCCAAGATAATAATCATGTCTTCATAGAGATATCGTGTCTGCACAAACAGATATTCACTTTTCTCTTGTTCTCTTCACACAGGCTAGAATATGGGAAGGCTCTCTAGCAAGGATGGCAGGAAGTGGACCAGGCTACACAAATGAGACGATCATCACACCAAACATTCACATCCTTTTTTATCATGTACCCACAATGATACGTAACCATGGTTCACTAAAGTACTTTAGTGATAAAGGTAACATGAATTTTAACAATGAAGTAAAACTTTATTATGTATAAACACTGTCAGGACAGAAGAGAGTGTAAATTCTTAAAGAGAGAGAGAGAGAGAGATCAACTAACTCAAAAATGTGTGCCTGTTCTGTCACGCGTGTCACGCGTCTAGTGTTACCACACAGTTTAGCATTGTAGCAAGGTATCATGGTATTGATTTTCCATGCGATTTAGGGATTGTCATTGTATTGTCGTGCTCGCTGGTGAAAACCCTTTCTCGTTTCACCGCGAAAATTTACTTGGAATAAATCTGGTTACACTGACTGATGAAGGATTTACGTCTCTTTTGTTATGCTGAGCAAACTTATGGATCAGGGTCCAAAGGATCAGAACAGTGAAACGAGAGACTTTTCGCCAGCCGACGAAGGCGATAATCATGATAATGTCAACCTCATGGATATGGAACTCGAGCCACAATTAGAAGACGAAATTCCCAGTGCAGCTGACCTTCTGGCAGGCACCTTTAATATTTCATTCGCTACTTACGAAGCAGACCTTGAAACCTCGAGGAAAACTACCCGACCAGCCGAAATTGACACGCTTCCATTCGAAAACAATGTGATCCAAGATGGCGTCGAGCAAAAGGAGGATTCCATGCGGCCGAAACGAGTTTCGAAACCCAGCGTCAAACTGATAGCCAACAGACTTCAGACAGATACGTCGAAGCTCGAGAGGTTATGGCAAGCAACTGCCCAAACGATTTCTCAGCTCCAGGGAACTCCGGACTCCGTTGAAGCTCTTTGTAAAGCAGTAGGAGATTTACGCTCGGCGTTCAACAAATATCAGCTCGTTTGGGTCTCTTTGATGGACTTCATGGCGTACGCCAGCTCGCCCGAACAACGTCAGGAACGACAAACGTTGGAGGAAATCATGAGGACTCGAAAACAAATAGTTCAAGCAGCAATACAGGAAGGAATAGATCGCAAAAATGATCTTCTACAAGAATTAGGGTCGGCTTGTTCAAAAGGCCGAAATGCAAAGGAAAATAAATGAACTTCAGTCTAAATCTGCGATGGCTCTTGAACTTGAAGAGAAGAAAAGACGAGAAGACGAACTGGCCTTTGCAAGGAGAAAATGGGAAGAGCAAGCGCGCCTGGAATCCTTACGCGTCGAACAAGAGGCCGCTGCAGCGGTGGCGTGAGCCAAGGCCATCGATGAGGAGCTCGGGTTCGGTAATGAGTATCAGCTACCAGATCTACCCGCTGAAGAACCCCATAAGCGTGTTGAAGAATTTATCAGCAGCCAACTGGGGGAATCTAGTCCTCGTGGTCAAGAACCTAGCGCACTACGATTCACCTCCCCTGGTTTCACAGCTAACTTGATTAAGGAAGAAAAGCCGCAACGCCAAGAACTTAACACACCACGCTTTACCGTCCCTGGTTTCCTGGCTAAGTCTGTCAAGAAGGAAAAGCAAGATCCTCTAGAGGAGCTGAACCCAGGAGCATTGCCCTCAACCCCTAGCCAAACTGTCCAATTCTCCAATCCAGCTGACCGCATGGAATGTTTTATTCAGTTTATGGCTCGAAGGGAGCTGATTGCCAACAAAATCGAAAAATTTGACGATCGCCCGGAAAACCTCAATACTTGGAAGGCAGCTTTCAAGAATATGACAAATGATGTAAACATCACTGCAAGTGAGGAGTTAGCCCTAATGTTGGAGTACACCACTGGTGAGTCCAAAAGACTTGTGCAATGGCTACGCAATGCTTACGTAGAGAATCCGACTGCGGGGGTAGGAGAATCCTGGAAAAAGCTGGGCGAACGTTTTGGCTCGACCGCAGTTATTACCAATGTGCATCTGAACAAACTCACAATGTTCCCTGTGTTGGCATCCAAGGACAACAAAGGTCTGCAAGAATTGGGGGACTTACTGTTAGAGTTGCGGTGTGCAAAAGAAGAAGGTGGTCTTGCAGGCCTCAAAATCCTTGATGAACCTGCCTTCCTGAAACCAGTGCTCGTGAAGCTACCGGAAGAACTCCAAGGAAGGTGGCAAAGGCACGCATACCGTTTCAAATCACAGTATGGTGTTGACTACCCCCCTTTTAGGGAGTTTGCCTCTTTCATTCAAGAGATTGCACAAGAACGGAATGATCCATTCTTATCCATGGAGAGTCACTTGGAGAAATTTCCTGTCAAGCCTCTTGTCAAACCTCCAATCGAACCTACTGATGACCCACCTTTCGGACAAGGCTTCACAGCATTTAGGACTGACCTCACAGACCCTGCACTCAAGAGCTCAACTAACTGGGACCCTGCAAGATGGTGCGTCATTCACAAATTATCGCATCCGCTTAGCAAATGCCGTGCCTTCAGGGCCATGCCCCTCACTGAAAGGCAGAATTTGCTTAGCCAACACCGAATCTGCTTTCATTGCCTTGCCACAACTAATCACCTAGCAAAGGATTGTGCGACCCAAGTCAAATGCTCTGAGTGTCACAGTGATAAACATGTTACAGCATTACACGCGGGACCCCTCAGCAAACCAGCAGCAGAAGAAGTAGAGCTGAAAGATGCCCACCAGTACAACGGGGAGCCTGCAGTGACATCTAGCTGCACAAAGGTGTGTGGAAACACAATGGGAGGCAAGTCTTGTGCAAACATATGTCTTGTGAGCATCTACGCAAACAGTCAACCTGAGAACAAAATTAAGGCATATGTGGTCATCGATGATCAAAGCAACTATTCGCTCGCCAAGCCAAAACTGTTTGATCTGCTGAACCTGGGTGGGAAGGCAACACCTTACATGCTGAAAACGTGCTCAGGGACAAGTCAGGCCATGGGAAGACGCGCCCACAACCTTGTTATCGAATCCTTTGATGGCATGCAGAGTCACACGCTACCCATCCTCACTGAATGCAATGCTATTCCAGACAATAGAGAAGAAATTCTAACTCCCGCAGCGGCCAGAGCCCACCCCCATCTGGAAGCTATCACTGAGAAGATCCCTGAGCTAGACCCAGAAGCTGAAATTCTCCTGCTTGTCGGAAGAGACGCACCGCCCCTCCACAAAATTCATGAATTGCAAAACGGACCCAGGAATGCACCATGGGCTCAACGCCTCGACCTGGGATGGGTGGTGTTAGGAAACGCCTGTATGGATGGCGCTCATAAGCCCACTGAGATCTCATCTTACAGGACACAAGTTCTTGATAATGGTCGACCCTCCTTTCTGCTACCCTGCAGCAACCGGCTTTATGTCAAACATGGTTCACATGCAGACTTCACAACTTATTTGGAAACTAGTCAAAAGAAAGGAACTTTCTTCAAAGGGAGCTTTGAATATGGACTGGGAGACAATGTCTTTGCATGCACTAATGATGACAACAGACCAGGAATGTCAGTGGAGGATCGGAAGTTCATTCAAAACATGAACAGATCATTAGCCAGGAACGAATCTGGTAGCTGGGAGGCGCTCTTACCTGTCCGTGAGAAATTTAACAAGCTTCCCAACAATCGAGAAGATGCAGTCAAGCGCCTGAGGTCAACTAGACGAACGCTTGACAAAAAACCGTTGATGAAGCAGCACTACTTCGACTTCATGCAGAAATTGCTCGAAAAAGGTCACGCAGAACCTGCACCAAAAGCAGAATTAAGCTCTTCTAGCCCACGCTGGTATCTTCCTCACTTTGGAGTGTACCACCCCCAAAAACCAGATAAAATTCGTGTGGTTTTTGATTCTGCAGCAGAAACCAAAGGAACATCCCTGAACAAGGCCTTGCTCTCAGGACCAGACCTCACAAACAACCTACTAGGCATCCTGTTACGCTTCCGTCAGGACACTGTGGCCTTTGTGGCGGACATTGAGCAAATGTTCCACTCCTTCCTAGTTCAAGAACAACACAGGGACCTGCTGCGATTTTTCTGGTACAAGAATAACGATCCAAATGAAGAGCTAACTGAGTACCGTATGAAGGTTCATGTCTTTGGAAACACCTCCTCACGAGCAGTAGCCACCTTCTGCCTTAGAAAAACAGCTGAAGTTGGAGAGCAAGAATTTGGTTCAGATGCAAAAGACTTTGTGTACAACAATTTCTATGTCGATGACGGGCTGAAGTCTGTGGCCAAACCCGCTGAGGCCATTGACCTGTTAACTTGCACAAGAGCCATGTTAGCCAGAGCAAATCTCTGTCTACATAAGATAGCATCCAGTCATCCAGAAGTGACTCATGCCTTTCCAAGAGAAGATCAAGCCTCTGACCTCCGCGACCTAGATTTCTCACTGGATACTGTGCCAATTCAGCGTGCATTAGGGGTGCTATGGGACATATCAGCAGACGCATTCACCTTCAAAGTTTCTCTGGAGAAGAGGCCATTTACAAGACGAGATGTGCTCTCCGTCTTCAATAGTCTGTATGATCCACTGGGACTTGCAGCTCCAGTTATTGTTAGAGGGAAGCTCCTCCTTCGATCCATGATGGCCAATCTCAGCAACCTTCATCCAGAAAGCTGGGATGAACCGTTGCCGGAAGAGCAAAGGCTGGCCTGGGAAGCATGGTGCAAGGCTTTGCAAGCTCTAACGCTTCTGAGGGTCCCTTGTTGTTACACAGTAGCTTCATCTACAGGAGTCAAAAAACAGGAACTGCATACCTTCTGCGATGCGTCCAATAACGCCATTGGAGCAGTCTCGTACCTCAGAACTGTCCAACACAATGGAAGCATCCAAGTGTCTTTCGTCTTTGGCAAGGCGAAGCTGGCCCCATCTCATGCCACAACCATCCCTCGTCTCGAGCTGTGTGCGGCCGCACTTGGCATCGAAATCACGGAGCTCATCAACTGAGAGTTGGACATAAAGCCTGATACAGCCTCCTACTACTCTGATAGCAGAGTAGTCCTTGGCTACATTACCAACGAGACGCGACGTTTTTATGTTTATGTCAGCAATCGAGTAGAGCGTATTAGAAAATCCTCATCTCCTGAACAATGGTATTATGTACCCTCCCACCGGAATCCGGCTGATCTACGCGCTCAGTAGATGCCCAGAACCTGAGTGGCAGTATGTGGCATCATGGACCTATCTTCCTTCATCACCAGGAAGCATCTGTCAACACGACTGCCAACCAAGCCTCAGAAACTGCAGAAGATGACCCGGAAGTCCGCCCAGTGTTACAAGCCCTGGTAACTCAAATTCTGCCTCACAAACCTCTCAGGACCAGCTGCTTCTCTAGGTTTTCACAGTGGACTACTCTTGTGAGAGCGATTGGAAGACTTCTCTCCTTTATCCAGTCACATCGTCAAAAGGCCCTTGAGAAGTCTGGTACCACAGAAAGTATAAAGCTGACACCACATGCTTGTCTTCTAAACAGAGCAAAGTTGTTGATCATACAGAATGTTCAGCATGAAGCTTATGAACAGGAAATCAGCAGTCTCAACAACTCTGATGGGTTGCCTAAGGCAAGCCCTCTTCTCAAACTGAGCCCAATGGTTGATAATGATGGACTCGTCAGAGTTGGTGGCCGACTAGAGAGAGCAAGTCTGAGCTATGAGGAGAGCCACCCCTTGATACTGCCGAGCTCACATCACGTCACAAGTCTTCTAATAAAGCATTATCACGAAAAAGTACAGCATCAGGGGCGACATTTCACACTTGGCCTGATCCAAAGCAGTGGGTTCTGGATTGTTGGAAGCAAGCGAGCCGTGAACAGCGCCATTAACAACTGCATTAAGTGCAAGAAGCTGAGGGGTCAGCAGCAGACACAAAAGATGGCCGATCTTCCCATCGATCAACTTACTCCCGCACCTCCATTCAGCTACGTTGGCCTTGACGTCTTTGGACCCTGGCTAATCAGTGCTCGCCAGACAAGAGGAGGAATTGCCAACAGCAAACGTTGGGCTGTACTTTTCACCTGCCTAACCACAAGGGCTATCCATATCGAAGTAATAGAGTCTATGGACACCTCATGTTTCATCAATGCCTTGCGCAGATTCCTGGCCTTGCGAGGACCAGCAGTACAGCTTCGCTCAGACTGTGGTACCAATTTTGTGGGCGCACAAAACGAGCTCCAATCTTGCCTT